TTCCTGCAGTGGGTTTAAGAACATGTATTATCTGTATAATCAACATCACATTTTAAGGGCTGGGGATGTAGCTCAGAGACAGAGGACTCACCTAGCATGCCTGAGGTCCTGGTTCCCATCCCCAGAATACTCACACACACAAAATCATAACTTAAGGGTCTCAAAATTTTTAGAAGGCCATGCCTGCCCACGGGCAATGCAGATTTTCTTCACAGCTTGTTTTAAAGGAAGAAACAAAAGCTCCTCCTGCTCCGAACCTACCCCCTTTCCAGTTTTCTTTTTTGACCTAAGGCAGATCTTGGGTCTGAGGCAGAACCACGCAATTCTTGGCCACCCTGGAGTCAGACGGACCTGGGCTAGGATTCCATCTTTACCATGTGCTGCGGTGTGACCAGGACTCGCTGGTGAGTCTGTTTCTTCCTTCCTAAAAAAGACACTAACTCTGGGGCTGGGGGCTGGGGCTGAGTGGTAGAGCCCTTGCCTAGCATGTGTGAGGCCCTGGGTTCGAGTCTCAGCACCACACATAAATAAATAAAATACAGGTATATTTACAACGAAAATAAATATATATTTAAAAAGAAAAAAAGGCACTAACTGCCATCTGTAAGAAACAGGACCAAAGAGCAGTCACCACCCACAGAGAATACCACAGCACACCAGGCCTGAAGGAGACAGAGGCCAGCACCTCGCCCAGGGCGGGACAGTGGTATCTCTTCCCCAGTGATGCCTTTCATATTATTGGACACTGTGTCTGCTGTGGAATTTGGAACCAGTTCCTTTCCATTATTTTTTTTTTTTTTTTGCTTTCGGTACAAGGCTGGAACCCAGCACGAAGCACCCGTGGCACCACTGAACTGCACCCCAGCCCCAAAACCCGTTTCTTAATGTAAAAGAAATTGAAGTTAAAGTGTAAATGACCGGACATTGTAAAGTTTCCAAGCTGCAGGGTCTGAGTTAAAAAGTGAAGGACCAGGTATTGTTAAATTCCTCTGTTAGGACAATACCCGAACTGCCCAGTAAATATTCCTCCTGATCCTCTGGTTGTTTAATAACTAAGGGCTCTGAGTAGTCCGGCACGTAGGCATCCAGGCCCCCAAACCAATCAGTTTGAATGTGTACCCCGCTTAGAAGTGACCAATCACCCCTGCCCAGCCTGTTCCCGCCAATGAATGTACTAATCATGTCTAAGAGTTGTTGTTTGATTTTCCCGCGCCTCATGATGATTTGCCCTGATGTGTGCAAAGCTTCCTCCCTCCCCAAAAACGTGTACTTAAGCATTGCTCAACCACTGCTCAGGGCTCTGGGCTACTCTATCTTCCTGAGTGAGCCTAGAGCCTCAGCGCGCTGAATTAGGATCCTCAATAAAAATCCCTTTATGCATATTGCATGAACCGGTCTCTTGTGGTCTCTTCCTCCGACGTTTTGCGGGTCCCTTACATTAAGAAGAGARCAGGACCTCCCGTGACCTGCCACATTGTTGCAGGCAAAGAAAAAAAAATCATTTGTGACATAGTCATAAAACCTAAGCCAGTTCCTTCTTAGGAGCCCTGCTGTGGCACTTGACTCTTTCCCAAGCTCTGCCCTGGGAGGCCCCAGCCCAGGCCCTGGGGCTGTCTGCCTAGGACCCCCCTCTCCACCACCACTGCCTGCAGAGCTTTTTTATTCAGACTCCCCAGCTCCCAGCCTGTGACCCACCCTTCTGTGGGTTTGCTCTGTGACCCCACATTCAGAAATCTTCTTATGTGGGGCCACTGGGATCCACATTTGGTTAGATGATTGGAAAAGTTTATTGGAAGGAGAAATCATAAACGTGCCATTTATCCCTTCCCCGGGTGTCAACTTAAAGCACGTTTACCAGTCTTTCCGCCCTTTGAGAAATCCCAGTAGGTTCTTCCTTCTGACAGAACTGTCTGGCGACATAATCAGCCTGAGCTCTAGGGTTGATTTCTCTGGGTGGAGTGAGACCTTAGGCACCTGTACAATCCTTGCGGCCAAGTCTTCACATGCGGACCTGTTTGCCCGTGACTTAGGGGCCTTTGGACCTGGGATGACAAGCTGGCCTTCATCAACCCTCGTCAGAGCATGCAACTTCACTAGGCTCCTTTCCAGCCGTCCGTCATGGACTTAACTAGGACTTCATTAAATCATAGCGGGACAGATGAAGCATGTGGCAGCGCCCACATAAGTGGAGGCTGGGTGAGTGTGCTCGGCTGGCCCACCGGCTTTGGGTGTCAGAGGGATGTAAGAGAGCAGGGAGGGCTCGTGAGGCACCTCCTGTCACCCAGGTAGCTTCTTGAAGCCCCGGTTGTCCCCAGGGTGTTGATGCTGTTCTGAGGAGGCTTCAGGGGCCCGGAGAGCAGGACCTGCTGGAAGACAGCAGATCCAGGAACATTCTGCAGGAATGAAGGACTGGCTCCACCCGGGGCCTTTACCTTCTGATCATCCTCTCAGATCCCCCCCACCCCCCCCCTTCCTGGTTGTTTTTTGGTACCAGGGATTGAACCCAGGGGTGCTGAGCCACATTCTCAGCCCTTGTTTATATTTTATTTAGAGACAGGGTCTCGTTGAGTTGCTTAGGGCCTCCGCTAAGTTGCTGAGGCTGGCTTTGAACTTGCGGCCCTCCTGCCTCAGCCTCCTGAGCAGCTGGGATCATAGACGCAGGCCACCGCGCCCCGCCTGTTTTATTGTCTTGCAGTAGAATGTCTAGCACAGAACACAACTGCAGTGTTTAGCTGTACACAAGTGGAGCTGGGGGCTGGTGTAACTTGGAGTACAGTGCTTGCCTGGCATGCCAGAGGCCCGGAGCTCCACCCCCAAACTGCCCCCCTCCAAAAAAAAAAGAGGCGCTAGTGCTTAAGACTGAGCAGGAGACATTATTTTTTGGATAAATACTTTAACACAACTGGAGTCCTACAAGTGTGCCAGCGTCAGGTCTGTAGGTGTCTGACCCAGCAGAGGATGCCTGGCCTGTGGACCCTCTGTGATGTCATAATCATCCCATTAATAGAACTGGGGTGCCAGTGGTCAGACTTGATCACCATGAGCCCCTTTTCGACAGCTCTTCCAAGCCCCTCTACAGATGTGATAAGGCCAGGCAGAGACGACAGGGAGGCGAGTGGTCCTTGTCTTCTAGGTGCTTCTCTTGGTCCCCCAAGATCTTCTTTTCAGCCTTTCCGACTCTGCTCTCTGAAATGAAATTCCATTCTGCCTGCTTTTAGCCTCCGGGCTCCCCAGCCACAGCCAGGGCAGAAAGAATCCCTCAGCAGGTCTGGCTGGGTCTGGGGCAGAATGTGAGGCCCTAGGTTCCATCCTCAGCACCACATGAAAATAAATAAGTGAAGGAAAGGTATCGTGTCCGTGTCCATCTACCACTAAATGTGTGTTTAAAAAAAAAAAGAGAGAGAAGAATCCCACAGCCATACTTCTGAAAATCAGCCTTTTAATAATCTATTTGAACCCTATGAGTGGGGAAAGAAAACATTTTTTTTTTCCCTTGAGATTTTGTTTATAAGAATAACAGGTCAGAGGAAACCGACCTTCCATAGGAAACTGATGTCCCCCATGTCCTCAGAGTTTTTTTAAAAACGCATAAACATGGGCTCACATCTCCCACCCGCCCCACCCTACCATCCTCCATGGGGCTCCGGGATTCGTACACCAAAGGGATTCCTTTCCATAACTGGGAATGGAATGATTAAAAAAAAAAATCCATCCAAGTGGCCACAGAAAACAGAAATAACCAAAGGCAGCTTACACACACATCAACTCATATGCAAAAGGGGAAACTTTGCTCATTGGAATTCGGAGCCAAAAATTACAAATGGCAGAGACTTAAGCTATCCATATAGATAATTTTAAAAAATCTTTCTACTGGAAACTCCCCATTCATTACAAAAGTATGCAAACAATCTCCATACAAATGGGAAACAGGCGGGGCTCTGTGGGTTGGAGGGCATAGCTAGAATTCCCTGGGTGGAATTCATGTCTGGACCACTGGCCTTCCCTCTCAGGACCCAAAGGGAAGGATGAGGGGGAGCATGGATAGGGGACCCACCTCAGAAGGAGTTGGGGGACACTGGGCAACCCCAGGGGCTAGGAACATATTAGGGTGTGGGCAGCTGATGGCAAGTGGGCCAGAACCACGCTGAAGAGTCCAAGTCCTGGGACTCTCGGGCRCCCCAGGTGGAGGCCGGCAGGGCGGAGACAGGCTGGTTTGCTTTGCTCCCCCAGCTAAGGCCTTGGGGCCAGAGGTGGCTGTCTGGGAGAGGCCAAGATGTCCTCCTCTGAGGGTTGCAGGAAGGATGCTTCTGTCTGGACAGTATGTAAACCATGACTATCTGCGCTTCAAGGGCGACTTCCCACACGAGACCCCACCCCACCACTGCAGATTCCAATAGGACAGTGGGGGCGCCTGGCAGGGGGAACCAGCCCCTCCACCAAGAAATGCCCTTGCCACACAGCACAGAGGCCGAGGCACAATGGTGGGAGGTTCAGAGGGACAAGGACAGGAGAGGAAGGGAAATCTGTGACCCTCCTGTGACCAGTGGGCAGATCTGAGACCCCACCGCTGCTGCCAAACAAACGGGCATCTGCTTCTTGGAAGAACAGGACAGGGGTGGGGACAAGGACCTGAGCCTGGGCTCCAGTTGGGGCAGGAGGGACAGGGCAGAAGGGAGAGTTCCAGCTACAGCGCCAAATCTCAGGGGCTGGCCTGGAAAGTGCCGTTCTGGGTGGACGGTGCCAGGTGGGAGGGCCTGTGGGCAGGCTGGTCCCAAGGCTGAGAGCCCACCATAGCTGCCCAGAGAGACACCAGGCGATCAGTGTGTCCACATGGCGGGACTGCAAGATTGTCAAAGCCTGGATGGCAGCTGGCCAGGGGATGCTGGACTGTTCCCTCAGAAGCAAGGGGCCACGCCCTCCCAGGAGGGGATCCCAACATCTTAAAGCATCCCCTTGCCTGACTCTGGTCTTGGGGCTCCCCAGGAAAGGAACACCACAACTCTAGGCAGTGTAATTTATCTAAAATGAAACACGGGGAAAGAGGTAGCTGCGGGACCTCGAGCCACTCTCGCCTCCCCGCCTCCCACGCGCAGGCTGGGAGGAAGCCAGACAGGGCCGGGAGAGGGCCGCAGGAGCCAGGGCGACGGAGCAGGGCGGGCAGCCTCCCTGGGTCCTTGGAGGGTGTCAATGCATCTTGCCCAGCTGGATCTTCTTCCAGGCCTCGGAGGCTGTGAAGATGCAGGAGTCCAGGATGCCCGCCACAGTGAAGGTCCCGCCAATGATGGCGCAGATCTGAAAGAGGGGGTGTGCGTTAGAGGCCAGCGCTGGAGGGAGTGCCAGCCAGACCCTCCCGCATCACAAGCTCTGCAACGCATTGCCTGGGACACTCGTACTTGCTGCGTGGACACCAACAGAGTCCAGAGTACTCAGGGCTCAGAGAGAAAACCACTTGTTAGATGACGAATTTCATGTTAATCACGAAAGCAATGCTCGCCAACATCAGCTCCCTTAATTCCCACAGGGATTAAGGCCCTAATAATTCCATGGTGAGGAATTATTAGGCCCATTTCACAGGCGAGGAAACTGAGGACCAGCGAGGTCACCCCCAGTTCACTAGGTAGCAGAGCTATGACCTGAACACAGGTGTGCCTGCACCCGGGAGCCTGTCCTCTCAACAGCCACTCCACATTGACTGGTTATTTATAATCCCAGTTTCAGATGAAGGATGGCGGGTCTGAAAGGCAGTGCCACTGGCCCAAGGTCTGACACAGCCAGGAGGTGGCAATCCTGGGACCTGAGCCTGGGTCTGCGACGTGGGGTGGGCTGTCGGCAGCCTGGCCTGCAGGGGCTGGGGCTGGGGYTGGAAACAAACCTCACACTCTTGGAAGCCTGGGCCATCTCAGTTGGGGGGTACTGGACAAAYAAACACCCAATAAGCCCACCCAGGGCAGGCATGGCAAGGCAGGGAGAGGCTGATGGGGTTCCGGGAGAGCTGACATTAGGACCCGTCACTCACAGCCCCTGGCATTTGCCAGCAGTTGGCTCATCACGGTGGGGGGCTGTCCGTGCCCTGGAGGGTGTTCAGCAGCATCCCTGACCTCTCCACATGTGACGCCCAGACTACATTCTCCCCCTTGTTGTGACAATCAAAATGTCGCCAAATATTGCCCGATGTCACCTGGAGGTCAAACGTCCCCAGGTAGAGAGCAGCGGTAGAAGGGGTGACGAGGGACRCAGCCTGTAGGTGTGCACTCCCTAACTTGCTGGCACATCGTGAAGACGATGTCAGAGCAGGTGACGCTGACGGTGCCTTCTCTGTACCTGGCAGGCCCAGACCTCAGGGAAGCCCCAGGTCACCCGTAGGATGCTGGACCCACTGTACAGAGGCACAGAGACCCTGGAGCAGCTGTGCAATGCCACTGCAGGTGGCTGGGGTTCAAAGTGTGGGAGCCTGTGCTCCAAGAGTGACATCCTCCTGCGTCGCAGACACGCAAAGCCCCACCTGCTGAATACTCAATGTAGGGTGGACGGACCTCCTCACGCTGTGAAAGTGTGTCCGTGCAAGCGTGCTGCTGGCCTTTCAGTGGGGTCTGCAGCAATTTCACGACAGTCCAGCACTTCAGCATAAAATAGCCTGTGGGATGCACAGCCCACGGCAGGCTAACGGGGCATTCTGAGTAGGCTGGGCTAAGTTATGGTGTTGGGTGGGTTACGGGCATTAAATGTAATTTTTTTTCTTTTTTGGCACTATGGATTGAGCCCAGAGGTTCTCTACCACTGAACTACACTTCCAACCTTTTTTATTTTTTTTATTTTAAGATAGGGTCTCGCTAAGTTGCCCAGGCTGACCTTGAACTTGCAATCCTCCTGCCTCAGCCTCCCAAGTCACTGGGACCACACGTGTGCACCACCACGCCCAGTTATTAAGTGTATCTTTGATTTGGTATTTTCAACCTACAGTGGGTTTATTGGGACATGCCCCCATCATGGGTTGAGGAGCATCTGTGTGTGCTAAACACACGTTCGTTCTACCATCGACACTCCCAGCTGAAGGTTTCCAGGTCTAAAAAATTGCTTTCTCGTGACTTGGAGGAACTGAAACACAGATGACAGACGGCAAGAGAAGGTCACAGAAAGTCTGCAGGCTAAAGCACGGGGTGGACCCGGGGCTCTCCACACTGAGCCCCACTCCAATCCTCCTAGGCTGGCCTTGACCTTGTGATCCTCCTGCCTCATCCTCCCCAGTACTTAGGTGTGTCCGGCCACCTCTGCCTTGCAAGAAAACATCTTTTCCCTTCAGTACCCACTTCATGCCATTCAGAAGTACCAATGCCACCCATCCACAGGGCAGCAGGAGCACTAGAGCCCCCTGAGGGAGGGGCTCTTTACTGCTGTACCCATGGGGCTCAGAGGGGGGAAACAGCTTGTCCAAGGTCACACAGCATGTCTGTCTGCCTCCCAAGCCCCCACTCTTCTCCCCATGCCATATAAAATGGCATTTAAATGACCATAGGTCACAGAAGAAGGCTATGTTGGAGTCTGCGGGGGGGGGGGGGGGGGGGGGGGGGGGGGGGGGGGGGGGGGGCGCTGAGGGGGTGGCCAGTGACTGACATGCAATCCTGCGGGGCTCTGAGAGACGGCAGCACTTAATAGATGCATTGGTGCCAAGTGGGGGAGGCTGGAGCCAGCCACGGTGAGAGGGAAGGGTAAATTGAGCTGCGTTTATTTTTTAAGTGATATTTCCGTGAGATGAGCTAAGCAGAGGCTTACAGGGCCCGGGACAGACAGAGGAGGTCTGTGCGGATGGCTGGTAAGTGGGGCAGCTGGCATTCCAGGAATAACAGCCCCAGGAAACTGGAGCAGCCCCCCAGGGAGTGAAGAGGCTGGGGACGCTGGGGGATTATGCTGAGTGTCTTTAAGCGGCAAGGCCACTCCCTGCCAGCCTCCAAGCATGACGCAGGAGCTCTCTGGAGGGAAGGTGACGGCAGGGAGCTGGTTTTATTTTGGTGGAGTGGATCAGATAATGGGAGATTTTATACCACAAAATGCTTTTAGAGCTTGGATCAGAGGATAGGAAAATGTGACTTAAGTGCAATGGAGAGCAAAGCAAAAAATAGCCCCGCCCCCCATCCGCACTCAGCCTCAGTGAGGCACCCAAGTGCCTGTGACTCACACACACCTGGCACCCGGTCTGATGCCGTCATTGTGCACACTGGGAAACAGCCTGGGGAAACCGAGGCCCCGGGACCACGGGGGCTGCTAAGCACTGGCCCCACCAGCCTTAAGGCTAAGGGGGAACCTGTGGTGAGCTCCCTGCATAGCCATCAGTGTCACTCAATTGAGCAATGTCCCTGGCACCCTGCTTCTGTGGCAGGGGCTGGTCTCTGGACAACCAAGGAGGTGTGTAGGGGGTCCCAGCACATTCCAGGGGTTCCTCAAATCTGAGAGAATCTGGAGCCTGCCCCAGCCCCAGTCCCCCTTCATTACCGTATCTTCCCTCATCCTAGGGGACATGTTCTAAGACCCCCCTATGGGTGTCTGAAGCCACGAATGATATGGAATCCCAATTATACTGTTTTTTTTTCCTATATATTCATATCTATGAGTTCAATTTATAAACTAGGCACGGCAAGAGATCAACAATAAATAACAATAAAATAGAGCAATGAAAACAATACACTGTAATGAATGCTACGTAAAACTCGTAAACTTGTTTACGTCTGAGTATTTCCTTTTAGTATGTTTGGACTGTGGCTGTCTGTGGGCCCTGAAACCACGGCAAAGAAAGCCGTGGAGGATCTTGAGCCTCACCTGTTCTGCCACCACGTTCAAGTCCAGACGTGGTGAGTGGCCTGCAGGGAGCTATGCTTGTGACAGGTCGTGCCACGTGGGCAGAAGGCCCAGCCCACACTGCTCCGCTGATGTGGGAGGGAATGGACCTTCAGGGGTGATGCTGAGGCCTGAGAGAGGCTGGGGCAGCCCTGGCGAAAGACGGTGGTGAGCTGGCATCTCCCTGGCCTGCAGGATGGGCAGGATCCCCCCATGAGCATAAATGCAGATGGAGCAGATGCCCCATGACCCATGACCCTTAGTACGCACAATCTGTTGCCCTTCCACACACAGAAGGGTCAGGAGAACAGGCCTTTCTCAGGGTGCAGAGGGCTAGACGGGAGCAGAGTGAGCGAATGCACGACAGGGGGTGGGGGGCTGGGGAGCACGGGGCAGGGCAGCGGCGACTCCCCCTCACTGGCTCKTGCCAGCTGGGGCTGATGCCACAGGGGGGGGGGCACCCTTCGCCCACCTAATCTGGGCGCTGCCAGAGCCAGGCAAGTCCAGCCTGGGCCCTGCGGGTGCCGCGCCATCATGGAGATGGCCGGGCTTGCTCCTGTCACCAGGAGCCTGCATGCTCCCCCGGCTCCAGTGCCTCTCAGGGCTGGTGGGGCTGGAGTGAGTGTCCACGGCCTGATACACACGCGAATGCCTGTTCCCTTGGCCCCTCACACAACTGGCTGCTGTCTCTCTCCACCTGGCCCCAAGGCGGGGGACAGGCAGGCACGGGGGGGCTGCTGAGCCAGAAAGGCCACCTCTGTCAGAAATTAAAGGACACCAGGTTGGCGTCCCGAGCCTCCATTTCCCTCGTCTSTGAAACAGGGTCTGCCATCAGCACTGGGACAGCCGTCCAACGGGGGTGTGACCTGAGTGCCAGGAACTGTTCATCCCCTGTCCTCCCCAGTCAGTGTGGCTTTCCCAGCCTKCGGAAGAGTCAGAGTCTGAGGAAGTAAATAACGAACCTGAGTCCCATTAGAGGCTGCCGGCGGCAGACAGGCTGGAGCCTCCATGAGGACACCCAAGTCGAGGGCAGGGGTGGGGACTGTCACGGAAGGAACGCTGACTCCGCCCAGTCACGTCACCCTGCCAGACCCCCCTTGCCTTCACCCCTGGCYCAGGGGGAACAGTGGGGTTCCCTCTCTGCCACTTTTAGAACGGCTTCAGTCCCCACCCTCCTCCCAACTCCTTGGTTGAGCACCTTCTGTATGCTGGGCCTTGCATGCCCTTTCTCCTGGCCTCCTTACTCAGTCCTGGCAACTGTGCCCGCTTCTCACAGATGAGGAGACAAGAGGACCAGAGAGGGACCAGCCCGTCCAAGGTCACAGAACTACCAAAGCAAATCCAGGTGACCAGACCCGGGTCTGGGAGTGTGTGTGTAGGGGGCTGCTGTTCCTGTGACACTCCCTGGCTCACTCCCACGCAGACACCCTCAGTGCCTCTCCCCCTGGACGGAGGGGCTTCTA